ACAACTTCAAAAAACTCGCGCCATTCCTCTTATGAAGTACGTCGGACTGTCTACTTTGCAAAAAGGGGTCATTTGGGGGATTTCTGTACTGTTCTGACATTCTTGGACCTCAAAAAATTAGATTGGCCGTCAGTACTTCAGGATTGATCAATTTTCAAATATATACCATAGTTTGTGAACTCTATAACTTTCCTACAAACTAAATAATACATCCTAATTTGGGTTATTTTCACCAAAGACATGTAGCAGAATACATCTTGGCCTAAATTTATGAAGAACAATTATTTATTTGTAAACTTTTATAACAGAAACAAAGAAAAATGTGGGGGTTTTTTTTCAAAATTTTTGGTCTTTTTTTTGTTAATTTAGCAAAAAATAAAAACCCCAGCGGTGATTAAATACCACCAAAAGAAAGCTCTAGTTGTGTGAAGAAAATGATAAAATTTTAATTTGGGTACAATGTTGTATGACCGCGCAATTGTCATTCAAAGTGTGAGAGTGCTGAAACCTGAAAAATGGCCTGGGCAGGAAGGTGTAAAATTGCCCGGTATTGAAATGGTTAATCACTGTATGGAAATATGAGGTCACCAACCAGACTGTGATGCCTGGTAGGGAGGTGTAAATCTCAGGGCAGGCTGGGCAAAATTACAATCTGTGATTCTTTAGCTGTAAAATAATTACCATGTATGCTTGTCAACTGTGTATTTAAAAATGTTACCTTTAAAATGTAAAGGTTCTCCGTTTTTGTAATATTAAATGCTGTAGGCAATGCTAGCTGCTCTTGTATACTGTGAGCCAGCCCAGTTTAGGTGTGAACAGCTTGTGTATTCTTTTAAATGTGTAGTTTAGCGGAAATGTCAGAGATTGTTTAGAACGATAGCAGTGTCTTTGCCATAAAGACTTATCTCCGTCACAGGCTCTATTGAAGGCCAAGATTGGTGTCATCAGTTAAATTTGGTCCAATTTACGCAGATGATTGTGTGCTCAGGGAACTGGTTCTGTTTGAGTTTTTCTGGTTGTGGGGGAGGAGGGATGGACTTGGTGTTCTCAGTTTGAGGAGGCCAGACAGAATGTGCTTGTTTATTATTACAAAGGCAAAGCAGATAGAATTTGGAATGGCTCAGAGAATTTGCCCATTTACAAGGGGACGTGTTACCAAAGACAGGTCAGGGAGAGCAGATAAGTGTCTCCCTATCTAGAGCAGGAGAAAGAAGAGCATAGAGCAGCAGACAAGGCCAAGGACTTCAGGCTGTTTTTGGGGAAGGATATGCTATAGAAGAGAAAAAAAAACAAAAATAATAATCCGATAAGCAGCATCTTCAGACATGCTCTGTGCGTGTCACCAACGTTTAATATTTTTTGATTGAAAGAGTATATGAAAGTTTGGAATTGGCTTGGCATAAAAACATTTGTGAACTATACTAACATAAGGTTACAATCACTAAAATAAGGAACCATTTTAGATGTGCGTGTGTGATTGAGCATGGTTAGCAACAGTATATATTCTATCTACCTTATATAGTTTATTAGCCTATCCTATTTTTTTATTATTTATTTTTTGCCAAATTTTTTCAGGGTCATAAATTACCTTTTGTACAATTCTGCTGCTCTGTCTTTACCCTCAGTGGTTATCTTTCACCTGTGAATCAGCCGGTATTGTTTCTCTGTGTTTACTACAGCCAGGTGCATTTTGTTAGGGTAGTGACATGTCCATTGAAGGAATTTCTTGAGTGCTTTAAATAAACTGGAGGTGTCACATATATGCATTAGAAGATTAGGTGTGTATTGAGTAAGTTGCAAGCTCCCCTGTGATTACCCTCGCCCCTGTCTATCCAGACAGAGTAAACATTGTGCATGTTCATGACGTGTATACCTAGATATGCAATCACTTCCAACTTCTGAAAATACCTTTTTTCCTCTTGGATACCTTCAGAGCTTGACTAGCATTACTTGATCGTATGTGGCACATAAGTACAAAGTAACAGCATCATTTAAGAATCAGGTGTCTGTGTTATAATGGACACATCCTTATCTGCTTTGCTATTTTGTGGCTTTAAGACCCCTTTCACACGGACGTTCTGATCAGGTCCACCTGTCCGTTTTTCAGGCAGACCCGATTAAAAACCTCTATTCTCCTCTATGGAGAAATGGTTATAAACAGAGGTGTCCATTTACACTCACCTACATCCAATTCAATCTGCCAAAAACAGGCGGATGGGGAAGTTCCTCTTCCGTCCAGTGGATCAGATTGGATGGCAGATGAGTGTAAACAGACAAGTGGTCCATTTATATCCAACTGCCAATGGAGGAGAGTGGTCTGTGTCCGTGTCCATTCTGCATACGTGTGGCCGGACACGGACCTGCCATCCCCCCGCTCAGCAGATATCAGCAGACAGATCCCCTACTGAACAAGCAGATCGCAGCAGTCCGCCTCATGTGCAGATGCAGGCATAATATAATTGCATTTAAGAAAAACCTGTACAGGAAATAACTGAATACCAACTTTTACATGGCTTTTAATTGCAGCAATGTCATAGTTAGTTAATTATAATTTTTATCAACAAAAATTTATATTTATGGACATTAAGAAAGATTTTTTTCCTCACTACCTCAGTGTTAGTAGATAATACAAAGTTCCATTTTGCGCACAATTTTTGGTGATACTAAAGCTGATCATACGTGGCTCAGTTTTTATTTTTTTATTTTTTTTTCAGCCAGGTGGCTGAATGAAAAAACTGAACTGATTCCCCCATCCACACATTTGAGGTGAATTCAGGAAAGCTCCCTGCAGTGTCATTGTATTCTGGCAGCAGAGGCTGCAGCACTGATCATACTAAAGTTTTCCAGCAATCCCATTCTGGAGCAGTTATTCAGCAAGCAGATCAGTTGCTCTCAAACAAGACTGGCCAGAGAAGGATCAAAATTTGGCAAGTCCCTGCTGAACTGGCCACATTTTGATCTATCTATACACCTGTAGATTATTTTTTTTTATGTTCAGCCTGCATGCTATAGCATCGCTATACAGTGTGGATGAACACTTCTTCCACTGTGGCTATTGATTGGATGCAGCTGCTGCACAGCTGATAATATTCCTCCCAGCTCCTTCAATTTTTCAATTGGAAATTTCAAGGAACGTTTTGACAGGGCCATCCATGAAGTGAATTTTGGTGGTTCATCAGGAATCAGACAAAATTTGTTCTGTGTATGGCAGTTTATAGACTTGCAGATCTGTCCCAAAGAATAGCAGTCACAGCCCCCCATCACAGTGCCCCTTGCAGTCATGCCCCCCTCTTTTCTCTCTGCCTCCCCTGCACAGTCCTACCTTCGGCAGGGCAGAGGCAGGATTCAGCCTGTGTCTCCTCTCCAGGGTCCCCTGCCCCTCTGACGATGTCATCCTATCAGCAGAGCAGGGGGTGGAAGGAGCTGCATATCTGGATCATATTAACAAGCAGGTGATTACCCGCTTGTGAATATGAAAAGACTCCAGCTCTCTGTGCAGATCTCCAGCTACTCCCACCCCCTGCTCTGCTGATAGGATGGCATCGTCATCAGGGCGAGATACCCTGGAGAGGAGACACAAACATGGCCGCATAGCACCCCCTTCTCTTGAGTACTTTGTACATCAGATATATTGAAGTAGTTCATTCTCTCTTTTTATATATGGGATTCCTCTCTATATTTCAGATATCTATCCTTCTATTTCTCTCTCTCTCCTTCTTTCTCTTTCTCTCGCTCTCTCTCCTTCTCCTTCTCTTTCTCTCTCTCTCTCTCTCTCTCTCTCTCTCTCTCTCTTCTCTTTCTCTCTCTTCTCCGATCTTGCCGTCCTATCTCTCTCTCCTATCTCTCCCTCTCTCTTGGATCTCTGTTTCTCTCCATAATAGATCTGTCTCTCACACAGACACTCTCAGGGCCACTGGGGCTCTCTCTGTACCTCTATCTCTTCTGGCTCTCCACCGGTCACGTGTAGTCGCTCCGCAGCCAAACTACTGGTCATGGTGTGGTCCCTGAACACTCCTCCCTAAATGTCAGTTTGGGTCCCACTCCCTCCTCAATTCTGTGTTTGATCTGTGCACTGCTCTGGGAGATCATGGGCTGGATCAGTGGGGGGGTCAATGCAGATCTCCTCCTCTTGCAGTGGAACAGGAGAGGAAACACAGGCACGGCCACATAGCGGGAGGTGAGGGGGAACCGTGGTCGGTTTTAGCCCTGTCTGGACTGCGATCACCACTTACCTTCCACTGTGTGGCCCAGTCATCAACAGGCCACAGACCGGTACCAGCCCAGGGGTTGGGCACAGCGGCCCTGGCAAATGCGCAGTGTGCCCTGTGGCCAATCCAGGCCTAGATATGAAGTACGTGATATTCACAAATGCTTTACACTGCTTAGAAGTGAACCCAAATGTTGACCTATTGTTGCAATTGATGCTCGGTCCTGGCATTGCGTCACAAGTGTTTAGATATTTCAAGTTATGGATGTGTCATATACTGGTGGTGCTAATGATAGTAACACAAATACCACCTATAAAAGGACTTGAAAAAGATATAGCTTTCTCTGGCAAAATTGTATTGCTTTCCTAGAGATTCCTTTATGATTTTTATTCCTGAAATAATTGATAACATGTTTCATCCATGGATTGTTTAAATTTTGTGTTAGAAATAGAAACTGTTTAAAAATCCTCATAATAGTCTTGCTGCTTTGAATGGAAATGCCAGTAGAGTATGACACAATAACTTAGTGGGATCTGTGCTGCTGACTAGCGAACAATGCCCACACAATAAACTACTGTCATACTGACTGTACTGCATAATCACTCTTCTGTCAAATAAAAGCTGATAACATCTTTTAATTTCCTTTAAGGCACAAACCTTGAGCTATGTGTAGATGAAATTCTGATAATGTTATATCACAGCTATGTGCAGCCATTGTCACTTGTTAATATGATAAAAAGTAGCCTTCAGAGAAAACTTTAATATTGCCTTTTTTTTTTATTATTATTATAGCTGCCGAACATGTTTGGTGATCTGCGCTCAACGTTTATTGCATTAATGATTGGATCCTATGCTTCCTCTGCTGTCACCTTCCCCTTCATCAAGGTGGGTATGCTTCCTTCCATTAGAGGATTATCTGTTGATTTCAATAAAGCCTTAACAATATTCTTCTGTCGGTAGTTCCCTTTACAGCTACCTGCACCTAATATAGGCAAGCATTTGTGCCAGTTTTGGTAACGTTATTGTCATGGGTGACAAATTCCTGTAGTTGTTAGTACCACCACATTAAGATTCTTAAAGAATTACTGCTAGTTTTCAGTTTAGTAAACTGTCAGTAATCAAGATCTCCACTAAATGCAAACAAAGGAGTCACAGAAACTGGTGATATCATTACCTAAATATGGCAATAATGGTATTTGGGAAATTACTTGAGAAACTAATTGGGTGGAGCCTGATGGGGAACTGAGAGGTCTTAAGGTTCATTCTCATAGGCACAGAGAGCTGTACAAATTAATGACAGGATGCAGATGTACTCTGGTGATTGCATATCGGAGCATTTACTTGCATACAGATGTGTGCCCCTCGATGTAGACAGTCTGCGGCCAGGGCTACTCAGCCATCTCTATAGCAAGAAAATGCTTGTATATGCTACTCAGCCGCAGCCTATCATTGTTTTGTACAGGAGGCTGTAAGCAAACATCTGTCATTCTCGGGCGCAGAGATACCTTTGTTTTTAATGGTGTATGGCCCTCTGTACCTGTGCTAATGAGCCATTACAGTTTTGTTTTTTTGCAAAACAGCCGCAGTCTAAGCAAAAATCTGGTGTTGCAGCATAGGACCCTTGCCTTGTTCCTGGAAGCATAGAGCTCCAACACACCCCCTGATGAGCAAACCCCTATAGCTCAGCAATCAGCAAAGGCCATGCTTCCCACTGATTGGAGAGCTCTAGCTCTGATTCAAGAGGGACATGTTGGAACCACTGCAGAGAGGCAACTGCTTTCAAACAAAAAGCAAGAGTCCTCTGCAGCATTCTAGCAGGGGACAGGCTTTTCTATACAGGTTGTGGCTATTTTCCAAAGTAAACAAACTAGAACACTTTGCAGACCTATTTATTTGATGCACCTAAAATGTTTTTAGTTGAAATAAACTGAAAGTTCAATTAGGATATAAACACAAGGTATAAATGGTCAAATTATTATTGCTCCAATGTTAAAGTGAGTTTTTTTTTTTTTTTGGATAGAGTATGGATTATTTAAAACCATCAGCAGAAGTTTTTGCCATCTGTGTTCAACTGAAGAGATTTGCTTTCAAGTTGAAAAATAAAAATCTTCTCTTGCAGGCTGTCCCGCATACCACTAGTTTATGTCTAGGGTACCAGAAAAAGTCATTTTGCTTACCTAATCATCCACTCCAGCTGGCTTCTTCCATGCTGCTAGATCTATCTCTGCAGCCTCTTATTCCCTACTCACCAGCAGTCACAAGCCCTCTGATGTCATCAAGTACAATGCAGCACCCATAGCTCTGCATTAAATGTGAGAATGGCGAAGGACCGTCTACAAGCAGGTATGTAGATGAGGAGAGGAAAGTGCCAGCTGCCAGGAGAGTGGGGATTATGAACATACAAGTTCTTTTTCTGGTACCATAGACATAAATAAGCATTTGCCCTTTTGCAGGGCTTCCCCACCACGAGGGAGAATTTTCACTTCCTGACCTCTAGAAACCAAATGAAGTGAGAGAAAATCTCTCCAGAGTAAGGTAAATCCTCTCTTAGACAAATGTCACCAGAGAAAGCATCCCCATTGCATGGTTTTCTCTGGTGGGGTGCTACTCCCTTAGTGCTCAAAAACTAAAAGTTGAAATACACTTGACATACAGGTTACTGCCACCATGTTTTGTTCCTTTGTGTTGTTACAACAAAATCATCCTTGTTGCCAGGGCCTAAGGGGGCTACTGGTGATCTGTTCTCTAACACTTCAGTTTTTTTTTTAATTATTGTTCTAGAAAACAAAAGACAAATTGTGTTTGCTTTGAATATCTGTCTCTCTCTAGCTACCCCATATGAGGTCAGATTGTGAGAGATGAGTGCTTGCTTCCTCTCCATTGTACACAGTAGCTTGGCATAGCAGACATTTATATTTTTAGAAGAGTCATTAATGTGGATGGATCAATAAAAATTCCATTCCCAAGTTGATCTATGTTGCAAAATATGTACACTCAATCATGGTGTAATTTCAGTGTACAGCAAATCTCTTGCTCAGCATAGTAAAAACAGGAAGTCAGTGAGGCCCTTCAGTGAAGAGTTTTTTTTTAAAACTACAAGCACAAAACCATAAAATATGTTTCCCAGCTGTCTAGTCTGGGTCATTGTAACCTTGCAAAAAATAATTGGCAAGACAGTTATTTTTTATTTTGGGTGCTGCAGTTAGCACTGGTGACTTGTGGCTCTGAGGGTTCTTGGGCTTAAATCCCATGTGGCCCATATCTGCAATCTGTTTTACTCTACTTGGATGACCAGACCCTCTTTTCAAGTGACAGGCTGAACTATAGTTTTGATCAGTGTTGGTATTCTCTTGGTTTTGTGTAAAAGATCTGTACATTATTGTTAAACAGGCCATAGACATAATTTCAACCGATTCAGCAGGGACCAGCCGAGATTCGAACCATCTGTGGGCAGGCTGACTATACCCAATTCGATTGTTGTATAGCCAGCCAATTAGCTAGCAATAATCACTGTCTTCTCCGACAGGGACTACTCCGCTCGCGCCCCCTACTGGGAGAGCACAATAGCTCCGTGGGAGAGATTCTCATCAACAATGACTGTGTTCATGGGGAAATCAAGCGATTTACAGGTTGCAGGAAAGAAAATGGCATCATCTATGGCTGGGTTTAATGATTTCTGCCCTTGGTGGGAAAAAAAACCTCATAAAGTTTGCTGATATAAAGATCAAGCTTTTTACTTTCAGGCTCTTAAATTTTAAATATGTAAAATATTTGGCGAGTCAAGCCTGGCCTCTGGTGTACCTGTTATGTTTAAAAATAAAATGTTTTTAATCTACTTAATTTGCAGGTTATTTATGATCTTGGTATCAGTTTTATCACAATTCTTATTGTCTGGGCTGCATGTGCTGGGCTGGTCTTCTTCAACTGCTTCTTTAACTGGCCTCTGGAGCCTTTTCCTGGACCAGAAGACATGGATTATACGTAAGAGCATTATATTTATAACAGTATACTGCTATTATAGTAACATTTTATAGCATGCTGATATTACCACCATTGTTTGCAGTGTGAAGATAAAGTTCAGCTGGCTGGGATTTGACCACAAGATCACAGGAAAACAATTCTATAAGCAAGTTACCACTGTGGGGAGACGGCTAAGTGTTGGAGGCTCCATGAAAAACCCCAAAGAGCTGTCAGTGCTGCAGGAGGGGAATAAGTTGTGTCTGTCCACCGTGGATCTGGAGGTGAAATGCCAAGCAGACAATGCAGGTATGTCCCCAGTCTAGTATTAGAAGGTTGTGCTGAAAAGGAATCAGCTGTCCAACACTAGAGGTCAGCAGTTACTGGACCAGTTTGTAAATGTATAACAGAATTCTCCTAAGCAACATTTAAATCTAATATGATCCCTAAATAAATTGTGGTTTTCACGGCGTTCTGTTTCCAGCTGTCAGGTAAAGAAATTAGATCTTTATTTCTTAGCTACCCATCCTTACCACGTGAGAACTAAGAATAGGAGTAATATTAATATTTGCATGTTAGCTTTTTTTGCAGTTTGAGTTTTATCAAAGTGTATCTAAACACAAACTTCTTTTGTACTTGACAAGAGGTGGGTTAGAACCCCAGTCATGCTTTATTGCTGTCTGTGTCCCCACTAGGGGAAATTCACCCTCTCGATTTTGTCCTGGTGACCAGTGTCACCAGGACTGAGTGAGAAAAAATCCAAAATTTTGAGGTGTCATCTGAACAGAATATAGTTGAAATCTTATATTGGATACACATGTTCTGGTGACAACTGTCTTAAGTGAGAATTTTCCTGTCTCAAAGATCTCTTCTCACTTCTGTACTACAAAACAGGAAGTCAAGGGTAAAAATCTCCCAAATGGGACACAGATGACACAATAACCAATTCTTACTTGTCATTTTAACCACTTGCCACCAAATCACATACATGTACTTCAACTGGTTAAAACAGGCTTATGGCAACAGCTGTCAGCAATACCGGGCAGCACAGTGGCTAAATGGTTAGCACTTCCACCTGGCAGTACTAAGGTCGTTGGTTCGAATCCCAGCCACGGCACCACCTGCCTGGAGTTTGCATGTTCTCCCTGTACCTGCGTGGGTTTCCTCCGGGTACTCCGGTTTCCTCCCACACTCCAAAGACATGCTGGTAGGTTCATTGGCTCCTGTCTAAATTGGCCCTAGTATGTGTAATGTATGAATGTGAGTTAGGGACCTTAGATTGTATGTCCCTTTGAGGGTCAGGGACTGATGTGAATGTACTATATATATATATATATATATATATATATATATATGTGTGTGTGTGTGTGTAAAGCGATGCGTAAATGGACGGCTGTATAAGTACCTGCAATAATAATAATAACCCCAGTATCTTTTTTTTCTGCCAGCGAAGCTCTACAGGCTTTTACAGGTAGCAAAAGGGGTCGTCAACCCCCCTTCCACCTCCTGCCGGTCCCTCTCTGAGCTTTCCCGTGCGATCACTGTTTTATTGTTTACATTTCTTGTGATAGGAATAAAAGTGATTAAAAAAAAAGAAATTAAAGGGTCAGGGTAAAATGTATTTATTTTTTTAAATTTTAAATAAAATAAAAATTTAAACCGCCCCTGTCCCCCCTTGCTTGAGCTCAGAGGTGAACACATATGAAGGTCACGCACACATATGTAAACGGTGTTTGCACCACACGTGTGACATCGCCATGAACGTTTATAGCGAGAGCAATAATTCTAGCATTAGACCTTCTTTGTAACTCTAGACTGGTAAGCTGTAAAAAATTTCAAAGCGTCGCCTATGGAGATTTTTAAGTATTTACCTCCGATCCACAAGTTTCATCTTTTATAGTTTCCCAAAAAAAATGGGTTAAATATTGTGCTTTTCTTGCATTAACATTCATTAAAGTATATTTTTTCCCCAAAAAATTGCGTTTGAAAAACAGCTGTGCAAATACTGTGTGACACAAAAAAATTGCAACGACCACCATTTTATTCTGCAGGGCCTCTAATGTTCGAGGGATTCAAAGTCTTTTTCCAGCCAAAAATACTGATTTTCACTTTTTTACTAAACAAAAAATGTCAGAAAAGGCCTGGCCTTCAAGTGATTAAAATACGATCTGCCTCTTTAATTATATCATAGCCTTTCCTCTAGTCAAAGGGTCTCCAAACTTTCTAAACAAAGGGCCAGTTTACTGTCCCTCAGACTTTAGGAGGGCCAGACTGTGAGCAGTGAGAGTGGAAATGCCATGCTGTCAGTGGGAGTAGACAGTGTCTCAGACTTGGTGGTCAGTAGGAAGACTGATGTCAGTGGGAGGAATAGTGCCCATCGTTGGTGTCAGTGGGAGGAATAATGGTCATCGTTGGTGTCAGTGGAATAGTGCAATCAGTGGCCCATTGGGAGGAATAATGGTCATCGTTGGTGTCAGTGGGAGGAATAGTGCCCATTGTTGGTGTCAGTGAAAGAAATAGTGCCTCTTTTGTTGGTGTCATTGGAAGGAATAGTGGCTGGTATTAGTGGTAGGAACAGTACCCCAAGGCATGGATAATGGCAAGCAAAGGGCCACATCTGACCCAGGGGCCACAGTTTGGAGACCACTGCTCTAGTCACCTTCCTTCCTGTGTGCTCACCTCAACGTTTAACAAAATACAACCAAGGTGTACAGATCAGATTGAGTGTCATGGGAAATGTACTGTAGCTACAATATTTAGCACATTATGGATTTTCCAAGGAAATGTCAGTCTGCATTAAACATTTACTGCTTAGGACAGAGTAAACAATATGTAAACAATATGGTGAATAGTATGTGCTCTGTCTCAGTGCCAGTGTTATTATCTGCGGATGATTTAAGTTTTCCTTCCTGCTAAGATTCAATCAACAATTTCCTGCTCTACGCATTTATGCTCAGGTCATGAGAGGTAAATTAATTGGGAACCTTTATTAAACATAGAAATAATTTGAGCCTTGCTTGGCTTATCTGGTGTGTGCAATAAGTAGCACATCTCTGGTTGGTTTAGTGCGTTTTCTTATTTTGCAGCCTCTGGACTTCACATACGTGTTAAAACATTTCTTCAAGATTAAGCAGAAAGTTTGGAATTTAAGTAATGCTCTACAAGTTATTAAAGACCTTTTAGGAACCTGCTGGGTTGTTTCCTTAAGTATTATATAAAGCTACATTACTGCTAAAATGTAAGCAGCAAGTTGAAGCATCTTCCTTTATAGAGTCATATAGAATATTGTATATATTTCTGTGTAACTAGAGCAAAAGTATGTTTTACAACACTACTGGGATTATTTATTCTCTAAAGCAAGGAACAATAATACAGTGCCATCCTTTCAGAGCTGATCTGTGACTGATCTAAATAAAGTCACCTGAAAGCTGGTATGTTATTATGGGTTGCTACACTTAGGATGTTGCTATTGCTCTTTGAATTGTTTAATGAATAAGCATAAAAGTGTTGTTGGTGCATTTTCATATTGTATTTCTCATATTCTTTTAGCAACTCCATCTTTTATGAAAAGCGTGTTCAGTCCGATCTTGCTACTTAGCCTTATCACCATGTGTGTTACCCAGCTCCGTCTCATTTTTTATATGGGAGCCATGAACAACATTCTGAAATTCCTGGTGAACGGAGACATGGAGACTGGTGAGTGCCTTTATATTAGCCAACTACAAAGACTTTTGCATGAATAAAGGCATAATAGTGGTGTTAATTCACCTGGGAACTTCACCCAGAATGGAGATTTTAGTTCAGGATAGATGCTGCTGGCTTAAAGCATCTCTGTCACATAAAGCCCAAATGAAACTTCAGTATAAATCAGCTAAACATCTCCTGGGTACATCAAAAAAGGTGTTTAATGCCCTACAGTTCAGACACAGCTTGAGTAGAAAAGCCTTTCCTCTGCCAGCAGCTGATCCTTGCTTTCCTTGGGGAAGCAGTAATCTGTGCAAAGGTCCAATATGTCTTTACATGCTCCCCTCCAATTGCAGGGTTCTGGATGTAACTGAGCAGGGCCTGTGTCGGACCTCTGCAAAGAGATTACTGCTTCCCCCACAGAAAGCAAAGATCCCACTCTACAGTATGCTGGCAGGGGACAGATAGATAGAAATGGTAATACTGCTTTGTTAATGTGGCACATGCTATTTGACGCAGGAACCTTTGCTAGTTTCCCCATTAAAGGCTCACCTTTAAAAAAAAAAAAAAAATAAACACATCAATTTTTTTCTTTACACTGCAAAGCATGGCACCCATGATCTGTGTATCCAGGGGTGCAATGTCAGGTCCTACAGGCACTCCAGACAGCCCTTTGCCTGTACGTCTGTACAAGCAGACAGTTACTAACTTGCAAGGATTGTCAATGAACTATGAGGGTGCTCATCAGCACTCTTGTAGTTCATTAGCAACTACAAGCTGTCTGCCCTGGTAGCAAACAGGATTTGGAGGTCATTAATTCACCAATCCCTGTGAATGACGTAACTGTGTGGGTGGAGCCCCACGCAGCTGTGCTGTTTTTAAAATGTGACAGTGGGTGCTCAGAGAGGATCCCCTATCCGCTGTCACGGGGGAAGGTGAGAAGGAAGATGTTGGCTGCTGCAAAGTAACATGTTACAAAAGGGGAACTTGCCCTTTTATGTTTAATAGTAAAATGGTACATCATTTCACTGTAAACATCTTGAATCTTTACTGTTACAGCACAGTTACCATATAGTGGTTTTTTAATATTTGGTCATGTTATGTTCTATGTACCTAGGCCTTTCCTCCCATATCAGCTGACTTGTTTTGACAAAAGTATTCTATGACAAGGTGCCCTTCAGTTACTATAGACAAAACACACCTAAAGATGAAGAACACCTCATCCGATCAGGTTGTTCTGGCTGTTTTGCTGTGCTTTGTCTTATTGTGCAAGAGTCAATTACATGTTTCATCAAAAAAGCATCTGCAGAATGCAGCTCTGTGTCCTGATCTTAGCCTTTTATTCAACTCAGATTGTACAGCATAATAATTAGATAGAAATGACAGCTCCAGCAGTTTGGAACAGGAAGGAATATTAATGACAGATTCAATTACATTTTGTACAGCCGGTAAAGGTGAGGCAAGCTTTTCATTAGCAGTCTATCCTTCATGTACTGTATGCAATCTTCCCTTTTCTCATAGTACAATGGCTTGCAGGACAGAGCAAACCCAGTCCTCAATTTATGTCTAAATATACAGCGCCCCCCAATGTGGAAACTATTTTTAGGAACTGACAGATTCATGTGCTGTTTACCTCACTCATCCCGAGCTGCAAAATTGTTTGTGGCACAAGTTCAATGAAGGCAATCCAGTTTGAACCTGCTCTATCAAGAACGATGAAGCAATGAGTTGAAAGTCATGTTATGAGACAGGCTTCCAGGCAGGCAAAAAAACATACCCGGGAAGCAACACATGAATCCAGAGAGGAAAACAGACATCTAGAATAGCAGATACTCGGGTTACCAGAGAAAAGTCACCACTGAATGTTTATTACAGTATGGTACTTAAACAGATGATTGTTTATATACATATTGACTAATGCATCTTAGGTGACCAATAAGCAGTAAATAATTATCACCTAATCTGGCTGCTTAAAGACAGATTGAAAAACTGTTGCATGTGAATGTGCTTTCTGTGACATCAGCAGATATGCCTGGCCAACCATACATAGAGGGCAGGATTGATCATCCAAAATGGCTTTTTATGGATGATTGCTGTTGTTTTTACTGCGATAAGCCGGGAGCCAGCAAGTACATAAACACGCATGCTTGCCTGCTGAGAATATGACATACTGGTAGTGAGATTTACTTCTATAAGGAAGGGCCATTGCTGTCCATTATAGTAAGATTGTATTATATAAACACATCACTGCATCCAGGAAATGTAATCAGTATTGAAAGGGGTTAATGATGGATAATTGTATTGATAAAACAGGGCCTCTTGGTTTAAAAAAACATCATGCATCACTTAAATGCAACATCTAAGTTTTAATGCACTTTAATTTCTTGAAAGCCCATTTAAAGCATTGCACCTATATGACTTTCTCACCAATGTAGTGGATATATTCAAGTATATGTAAGCCCTAACAGTGAACTTTTCTTATTAGTTGACTTTTTGGTGTGTTTAACAATTGAATTTTTTTAAATTTTTTTTCTGTTGATCCTGCCAGAAATCCTGTAGTTCTCTCTGTGGACTGCAGAACACCTGTTGTAGAGTTGAGGGGAGGGAAAGGTATTCAGTTGTTCTAACACTAACCTCCAGGTGGAAATGCTTCTCCATTGATATAGTCCAGTGAGTAAGCATTGTCATTGTGTAGGTAGGATTACCAGGTATAAAAGGGAAAAAGCCTAAAAAAGAAAGCTAATGCAGCCCCCTTATTTAATTACTGGAAAACTGCGTTATTTTACATTTTGTTTTGGGATTTAGATACACATTAACTAATGCCCCCCCCCCATCTGTGTAAGCCAAGGCAAGGCCTATGTTCAGTGCTGAATAGTCCCATCATGTAACCTCTGAAGTGGTGCCAGGTGAAGGCAAGCATGCCCATGTGTATGAAGCTGCACAGGTGGCAGTGTCTTAGATCAAGCCTCATTCCCTGAGATCACCTGATGGTTGTTAGGGGGAGAAATCGGGTTGGAGTGCACAACCCAGAGAAGCTTGGCACTAAACCTGGCTGCCTTTTTGTTAGAAACGGAAAAAAACATTTTGAGTCTTTTAATCTTTTATTGATCTAGCCAGCACATTTCTGGGGATAGGCTCTTCCTTCCTCAGGGATGTCCTACTTCAGTGCTGCTGATGACAATGTTGTAAATTGTTATCAACGTTCACAGTGGCTTGCTGTAGCAAAGTGCCGGTATACAAAGTAGCAGATTCTTTTAATAGTTTAAAAGACCTGAAAGGTCTGTCTTCAGGTGAGGTTGCTATGGGTAATTCAGGAGAGGATAATAAATAACATTATAGAAATGAATGGCTAATGTATATAAAATACACTTTTAGCTTTGGGGCAAAACCTGGAGATTATTAACAGGTAAATGATCTTTAGTATGAAAAAAGGTCCTTTGTTCTTTGTTATTGACTTACTATGCTTGGATTGCACAATTCCTTGTTTTGAAATCCCTTTCTTGTGCTTTTCTACAAAGGCAGCTCTTGCCAGAAGTTTATGTTTTTATTTAATCAACACTTCTATTTGGAGTGTTTAAAATATATTTTAGAAAGGCAATGCAATACTCTACAGTAATCCAGGGAGCCTTATGGCTCTTGCTCCCTCAAGTCTTTGTAATACTACGTAAGCTGTATTTGATTCTTACCTGATCACATAAATGAACTAAATACAGGAGGTTGAACAAAATTATGGAAAACAGCAGGTAAAAGAACAACATCATTACCTAATATGGTGTTGGGCTGCTTTTGGCATCCAAGGCAGCCTGAATTCTCCTGGAAATTGACAAATATAAGTCTTGGATGGTGAATAATGGAATCTGACACCATTCTTCATGCAAAAAGCATTCCAGTTATCGCAGAGATGGCGGAGGCAGAAAACGAGCCCGAACATTGTTCTCCAAAACTGACCATAGCGGCTCTAATGATATTGAGGTCCGGTGACTGCGGCGCCCAGGCAAGGTGCGAGACTTCATCATGGTATATGGCACTGTCTTTGGGAAACAATGTCTGCATCATGGTGTGCACATGATCGGCTAAAATTTGCTGGCGGTGACTCTACTTTTCAAGGTGATGATGGGTCCTGCACAATGCCAAGATATGTCTGCCCAAACCATGATTCTGCAACTACCATGCTTTACCGTTGGCACAACACAGTCCTGGTGGTAAGCTTGGGACGATGTTTGTCACATGTAAACATGTCCGATGGTTGCAAGCAGTGTGAAGCTTGATTCATCGGACCATATTACAGTCTTCCGTTAATTGACCGTCCACGATATTGGTGTTGCCCCACTCTCTCCTCTGTTGACCTTTAATATTGGTCACTAGTGGTTTGGTTATTGCAGCTCGCCTGTGAATGTTTTGCTTATGGAGTTCCCTCCACACAGTTTTTGTGGACACAGCTTTGGAAGACTGAAATTGAGCTCTGCAGTCACTTTTTCAGCAGTTACTTTTTTATTCTGGATCACAATCCTGTGCAATGTCTCTTTCGGTCAGTTGACCATGTCGACCACGCTTATGTTTATCAGATGACATTTTCATGGAAACTGTATAACCTTTGATACTGTACCTTGCAACAGGCAAATAAATTGTCAACTTCAGTCACAGAGGCACCAGCTAAGTGGCACCAACAATTTACCCTCTTTGAAGCTGAGTAAACCTCATGACCTCATATAACTAGCAGCGCACGCACTGAATGGTAAGTGAGACTTCCCATCTGTTGGTTAGGTGTCTCATCACACAGTGGAAGCAAAAGAATGTTACACCACTTCCACTTTCAACGTGAAACATCTCATTTTCAAACCTGCAAATCATGTAGCGTTTCCATATTTTTGTCCAACCCCTGTACATTTAAAAAAAAAAGACTTAACAGTCATGTCAAGCTTGAAGTAAGAGGACCTACAGTATGTGGGTGTATATGTTGTGATCTTGCACAGCAGGTAACTAGAGAGGGTTTACCTAGGGGCACAATTGCAACAGATAATACTTGAATAAATGGATACATGTCTACATAATGGGGATTTTGCTCTCTTTGTGCAATCAAAACTCTCTCATTCCCAGATGTCATTATGCTGATATTAGACATTTCTTCACTTCCCCTTCTCTGCCCTAGCCGCTGATTCAGCACAGGCATAATCCTCAAGCACAAGACCTGTGTCTGTAAAGTAGTGGGTTCTGCTAGTTCAAGCTGGATCCAGTTTTTATTTCTCTGTTTTAGTCATCCTTTGTGTAACATGCTTTCCACTTTTTATGCTAAAGTTAGTTGCTGAAGTCTGTGCTAACTCATCTCTTTCTTGTATTGTTCTCTTTGCTATCACATGCTGCCTTGCTTTCGTCACAGAGATGCACATGGGTAAGCCTTGGGAAGTAGTGTGAACCATCTGCAAGATCTGTGCTATCAGACAATCAGTGTTCACATATTTAAATGACTAATACATATACTGGACAGTAGCTACTTAAAACAAATAAGTTAATACTAACATACAAATGATAATGTAAAGAATCTTAGACTTCCAGTCCGCAGACCCAATAAAATGTCATTGCCTTAGCTGATTTGCAGTCTGCTTTACTAGCTTCTTTTAAAGGATCAGCCTACCCAAAACTGGTATTTTAGTTCTTGGCAGAGATAAGGAGAGTTAAACCATATGACAATGTTCTTATATTCTTGGGAACTTAGCTGATGAGATCTTTATGCTTGAGTTCCTGTGTCTGTACACCTGCTGTGGCCACAGTGAGAAAATCTCTCTTCCTGTCAGATTTTTAATTTATTTTTTTATTACAGAGAATACAACAGGAGGTACAGGTTTACTGAACCTAATAATGATTTAAATACATGTACCCATTCTTGTGTTGAAAATGATTTAGATGATGCTGGGATTCAATATTTTTTGATTTGGCTGATTAGATCCACTTATAGCGTATCTATAGTTATTGCTTAAAAGCATAATTATGTTTCCTGTCACATTTACTATTTTTTATTAACCTTTTCTCATAAATAGGCCCCATTTCAGATTGTATACGTGCATATGTTTCCACCCACACAAAATACATGTCAACTATGCACTCTTTTATTTTTTCATCCTAAAAAGATGGCATTTCCATCACCAAGCATGTTGCTTAACCTCCCTGGCGGTATTCCCGAGTGTAGCTCGGGGTAACATTTCAGTACCAAAAGCGGTAACCCTGAGCTACACTCGGGAATACCATGCGGCACTGCTCCGGCATGTGTTCTTCACTTACCTTACCCTGCGCTCCCACGATGTGTCCCCTGCAGCATCCCCGGCCATCTCCTCCGGCCGATGCCAGCATCCGGCTTCTGTGTCCTGTCCCTGTGACGTCGGGACGTACGGGGCGCCGCCGGTGGCGGCGGGAAATTTAAAAATTTTAAAAAATGTCATTTTTTTTTTTTTTTTCATTTTACACAGTAAAACATTGCTGTCTCAACCTATTTCACATACATATTGTCCTGAGTGCTTTGTCCTGTGCCCTGCCTGCATTTTGTCTGTTCTTTCTGCCTGGAAACTGAGAAACGTCCATGGCGTCCAAAAAGTGTCCCTTTAGGTCAAAAGCGGTTTAGATCAGCTAGAGAACAGCGATAGTAAATCAGAACCACTTACAGAATTGAGTGATAATGATTCGTGGGGGAAATTTGTCATCAGAAACTGAAAACGATTTTGCGACTGAGCTCAGCAATGTGCGAACTTGGCGCTCTATTTCACATTTCAGTGTTTTTGGTTTGATTATATTATTGAATTAAATTTTTTATTATTTTTATATTTTTATGATTATTTATTAAATTATAATTTATGATTTTGTGTTTCAAATTTTATCATACCCAGGATGTTTACTAGACTCTTGTTCGGACAGATTTCAGTGAGTTTTTCCTAAAAATTACAGCCTACAATAAAAAAAATACATATTTCCATGCTACCGCTTTCAGCACCAAAAATCTGAAATAATCATACCGCCAGGGAGGTTAACTAACTAGCTGATAAATGTTCAGTTGTTTTGAAAAGGCTTATAGTAAAATTATTTGTTTTTTTTTTTCTTTACAGTTAGTCTATATACATCCATCTTTGGAGTTTTACAGCTACTCTGCCTGATGACAGCCCCTGTTATTGGATACATTATGGATTGGAAGCTCAAGGAATGTGACAATGGCGATGATGAAGATGAGAAGGATGCTAATCCGTATGTTTGCTCCTCTAAGTGACATTTAGGCTGCACACGCTAGTATAAAAACTTATAGTAAAACTGACAGCAGGAGTTGAGTGTAAACATCCAGAGGCACCTGTGCATACCATGAGTAATCTTCCAGAACATCTGGGAAGACCCCGAAACAGATAGGAGGTTCAATCTGCAAATGTTTAAGGTGCTGTAACCCACTATGTACTGCACCTTAAAAATGGCCATGGATATCTATTACATTAAGTAAATAGTGTCTTGTCTCATGTACTGTCTCCCACTATAATGTACGGCACTGAGCAAACCTTTTGGCGCTATATAAATACTGTATAATAATAGTGAGATATAAGAGGCAGTAAAGTGTGGGGGGAACTGAGCATGTGTTTAGTAGATGAGCTCAGGGTGCTCTGTAACTAAAGGTATACATCTACATTTAGATGCCTGAATTCAAGTCTCCTTTTACACTTGTGTTATTAAACAAAAAATGTGCTGCTGCAGAAGGTGCATTTTTATCACCGTAAGGTACAGGTACACATAAAATACTTATAAAAGTTATATACACTATTTTTTTCTTATGTTTTTGTTTGCATTAATTACAGAGATGGAAAGAAAAAGAAAAGGCGGGATCGTCAAATTCAGAAAATCACAAATGCCACCAGGGCCTTTGCATTCACTAACTTGCTGCTAGTGGGCTTTGGAGTCACCTGTCTTATTTCGAACCTGCCTTTACAGGTATGTTTGGCTGGGAAGCCCTATGGAACTTCTTTTGTGTGTGCTGATTATGCTGCTCATTCATCACAACAAATTTCAGACACAGCAGTGGTGCATGTCTACATTCTGTTTATTTTTTTTACAGATCCTGTCCTTTATATTGCACACAATAGTGAGAGGATTTATCCATTCTGCTGTGGGTGGGCTATATGCTGCTGTGTGAGTATATGCAGTAATACTTCATCTTTGTTTTTTTTATTGTTTAAATACTTTTCTACCAGAGCAATATTTAAATTTTTTTCACACGTTAAAATCTTGCCTTTTTTGCTAGAAAACTTACTTTAAAGTGTTACTAAACCCGCAACAGTAAAATCAGTCTGTATATACAGTAAAGCATGCTTGTTCTCACTGTGGAACCTAAGGGGTTAATCCTCTGCATTATGTAAAAAGAATGTTTGATCCTGTCTTCTCTGATGCGCCCCTTCTTCCACAGTTCCCAATTCATCTGCTGATAGTATAGAGCCCTAGGAGACACTGCACATGCTCAGTTTAGTGTGTATTACTACAGAGTTTGTTAGGTGGGTTTTTTTTTTTTTTTTTTTTGGAGGGTGCATGTGATCAGCACAGTGCCAGTCAGCACTGCCCAAACAGAGGATCTGGTGTCATGCAGCCTCATAGGACAGTCAGAGGAGAATGAAAACTCCTCCTACAAGATTAACCAGTGTTCAGCCGGACACTGATAGAAGTCACAAGACTGCTCTAACTGCTGATGAAAAAAGGTATTTAGCAGTTTATATTTACTAAAATAATGGAATTTCCATGTTCTGCATACTATGGAAGACCAGATATAGTGAATGCAGGCTCCTGGGTTTAGTAACATTTTAAACCACCAAACAGTATATATTTTTTTTAAAGCGGAAACCCTGTTAAACATATATTTTAGGAAAGAATACACTAAAATTAATCCCTAACTCACATTCATACATACACATACTAGGGCCAATTTAGACAGGAGCCAGTTAACCTGCCAGCATGTTTTTTTGGTGTGGAAGGAAACCGGAGGACCCGGAGGAAACCCACGCAGGCACAGGGAGAACATGCAAACTCCAGGCAGGTGGTGCCGTGGTTGGTATTTGAACTGACGACCCTAGTACTGCCAGGCGGAAGTGCTAACCATTTAGCCACTGTGCTGCCCAGTAGCAAACTACAGTACCCAAAATTGTCCATAGGCGACACTTTAAAAGCCTCTTTGCAGGTTATCAGTTTAGAGTTAACCATGAATTATTACACTCACTCTGACATTCATAGTGATACCTCACATGTGTGGCCCAATTACAGTAGCAAGGGAATGACAGCTCTGAACCTCTAGTCACATAATGCATAAAGTCACATAATGCACAGCACTTCATTGCAGAGGAGATCGGGAACAGATATTCCTCTGTCTCCTCCCTCACAACATGTTTGGACATTTTACTGCTGTTCTGAGCTGCCCGGAGTAATAGAAAACCCTGGGAACCACTGTGGTGGCTCTGTTGGCTCACTGTAGCTGATCTTTTCCAAATTGTGACTTACCTTGCTTCATTTTGTTCACTGTTTCTGTACTGAACTGGCCATATTGGAAGAGGAGCAGGGTTTGATATTCAAGAACCAATAGGAGGGATTTACAAAGCACTGATCCACAGATCTAACAATGTGCACATGTGATACACATAGTGGCCAACACTGGTAACAGTCTCATTTCCATAAGGTGCCAAAAAACATGTATCCTTAAGTCTTCACCACGTTCCCATAGGATATATGTGTATTGCTCACTCACCAGACCTATTTTACCCCATTTGCGGTGGTCATAAGCGTTTTTTTTTGGAAAGATATAACGGAGAATCAACCTCTGCTTGTCTTATATTTCTCCTACTCATCAACAGACCGCAGGTTATAACATCAGGGAAGATGGTAATGGTAGTTTCAGCCAACCAGTGTGCCAACGCTTCAAAACCGGCTCTCCATACTCTTGGTAGAATGTGAACAGCCACTCAAACCAGAGATTAAGCCATTCTAAGCGTAGCATTTATTAATATTGTTTGAATAAAAAACAGACAAGGTGTACACTCACATGGAAAGGTGCTATGTTAGCCAGCACCAGCATGTACAGCTCTGAGATTCGAAAAGATGGCCGACGTGCATTCCAAGCCTACGCTGACCAATGTCCACTGCCAAAAGTGCTTACATGCCTCGATGGATCAGGGTTGTTTTGGTGACAAAAGAGAGAGGCGCACAGGCCTAGTGCATTACCATAAAAAATGTTTAATAAAAAATAAAGTAGGTGTTGTACTCACAAAGGACAATATAGTCAAGGCACATCATAAAGAACAGCTGGGTCAACACCGCGCTGAGTAGCAGTCAGTCTCTGAGGAAGAGGCAAGTCCTCGAAACGCATCAGCCTTTTGGATGTCTAAACTCCCTATTGCGGACTGTTACTCAGCACGGTGTTGACCCAGCTGTTCTTTATGATGTGCCTTGACTATATTGTCCTTTGTGAGTACAACACCTACTTTATTTTTTATTAAACATTTTTTATGGTAATGCACTAGGCCTGTGCGCCCTCTGTTTTGTCTTTCCTCATTCAGTATATTTGGATTTCCCCGGTCTATTTGAGGGCAGCAAGGTGTGCATGTTCCAGGACATTTTAATGTGGTTGTAGCCTGCATCGAGTCCATCCCCAAGCGCAGGAGCATTTGTGTTTGCTGGTTCTTTGTTTTCGTGACAAAAGGGGAACCTACTTAATATTAAGTGGGTGGTCATAAAGTTACAGCTGAACAACTTTAAAAAACTAGACACTCCTTTAGTATAGTATTATATATGTATTTTTTATTATTTGGAAATTTGGCAATAGTATACATTAATTCTATCATCTTGTTTAACATAAGTAGTTTTTATGCACTAAGTTTTACAACCTTAACTTTCTTTTATTTAGATACCCATCATCGCATTTTGGGAGTTTGACTGGCCTGCAATCTCTGATTAGCGCTCTGTTTGCACTCCTCCAGCAGCCTCTGTTTTCAGCTATGGTGGGTCCTTTGGATGGTGATCCACTCTGGGTAAGGACTAGTTAGTAATAATTCTAGTATATACATTTTTTAGATGTGTAAATGTGCTTGGTGAATTCCACTATTGTATGATTCATTTTATATTAAAAGTGTTGTCTGGATATAATGGAAAGAAGATCAGCTAACTGGTTTTAAATGAAAAGGTACATCAGTAAAGAGGCCTCTTTTTGTAGATGACACAAAATAAATAAAAGACTTCATTACTTTGGATAGAATTCCATTTAGAGTTTTGTAATACTCAATTCAAAATGTAAAAAAAGAGTTTCACAGTTTCTACTTTAAGATTTGGCTAAGGGTTATAACCCCTGTTTTTTTTCCATCGGTGTCCCATTAGGGAGATTTTTCATCACATCCTGTTCCATAGCCAAAACAATAAGTTAGCAAAAATCTATTAAAATTGTGGGAATCTCTGTTTGTCACCAGAACTAGTGTTCCCATTGGCAGATTTCCCCTCTATTCCTTTTATGGTGACAACCCAAAATCTGGGACTTTCTTTTACTTTCACGCTTGATGATAATGGTACCCAGGACAAATAGGGAAGATGAATCTCTCTATTGCGGGCACAGACAGCAAAAAAAACCTGACTGGTGTTCTAATCCCTCTCCACTTTATCAAAAACTAAAAAAAAAAACGTGCTTGCCTTTAGTTATACTTTAATGGAAGTAAAGGTTTGCTTTCAGGATAGCAGTCCTCTAGATGATTCTGACACCTATTTGTCACTTTTGACAAAAGTAAATAAATGCCATTGTTATATGGCCGGCCTGCAAATGAAGGCATCATCAACTGGGTTTTTATTATATCACGCAATATTACCCATCTCAGATCACACATTCGCTTAAAGCACTATTTTAGCCCACTAGGCTAGCCCTGGCATTTAATGGGTTTCTTAACATCAGATTTTTTAAACAGCTTGTCAATTGCACATTCAGCTTTTATAGCACAGTTAAATGAGGGTGCAAAAAGAGTTTTGCGGGGTTTTCTTTTTTGTTCTGCAGTAGCACTCCAATGCTACCCTAAACTCTCCAACCAGCAGCCCGGCCTCCCCTACACAGTCACAAGTATCAGCAGCAGTAGTAGTGGTTATACACACTATGCTCCCAAGAAAGGGGAGTCTGGGATGGTGCATAAAAATTAAGGCTTTTGAAATGGTAACTTAGAAAGTACCATCACTTTGACTAGGCTAGAAAAATTGGAGGTAAATTGGGCTTTAACATGTTCATGAAAAGGTCTTAATAACCCTAAAATTATTGATACACGATTGCATGAACAACATTTATATTTTTTATTTATATTAAAGTGTTTGTCTTGCATGTTTTATAACAACATTTGGCCATACGCCTTTCCTTGGCAGCAGCATTTTTATATTAAAAGTGTTTTTGTCTCTGCCATTGACTGTTTTCAAGCATATACATTTGTTTACATGTAAAGCATTTCTTCTGCCAAAGCGCTGCTGGTCCTGGACACACTGGCAGTGGAGGTTTTTTGCCTCTAGAGGCCCCTGCCTTTAAATGCCTATGTGTGCATGGACACACAGGCTAAAATGCAGGGGCATTTAGAGACAGAAAAAAGACTGTCAGGCACCCCTAACAGCAGTGTTAAAAATGTCCAGTGTACTAAGAGTGTGAGAGTCTGTTGGCCATGTTAGTGTGTGTACTGCATTGCTGTGCATTATGTTAATGTGATCCTAAAAAAAAAAATAAGAAAAATATACAGTTGTGTTCTAACTTACTGTGTATGCATTCCTTACACTTATCTCTCTCTTTCTGCAATGACAGGTCAATGTTGGATTGTTGGTAATGAGCATGCTTGGGTTCTGCCTGCCACTCTACCTCATCTTCTTTAAGCGGAGCCTGGAACGGCAAAGGAAGCAAAAAAATGAAGACTCCAAACTGTACCAGAAAATAAATGGCACTCCTGATCATGAAGCGTTTGTGTAAGCTATGCCAGAAACTTGGCCTGCCCTGTACCCATACAATGTTCCTATTCATAGATTTCTGGGAACATTTCACTCCAGCATAACGAGTCACCATTTTAGAAGATATTTCAACCTTCAGCATGTCATCAGTGCACCAGTTTTCCCTTCAAGAATAAATGGAAGGAGGCACAGTCTCTGGGCCAGAAAAATCTATTCTTTCTTAGTACAAACAGAAGTCTGTACCATATCCTGTGGGGTAAAACACAACCTTCTGTCCATTTTGTTGATTGGATTGGAGTTTCTTCTTATGGCCTTTAATGAAGGGTCTTACCATATCTAGTCAGCAGTAACTTTTGGTGACATGAGATGCCATAAAGCTGGAGTCTGTGACCTGTTATGTGGACTCATATTCTTAGGTGCTCAGCACAGAAGTAGCAGGAATTGGTTTCTTGTCGTGATTACTTCTGCTTAGCATGACCACTTGTTCTGATAATGACTCTTGTGCCAGTGGCGATGCCAGGTAGTCTCATCATTGTGGCCTCTCAGAAACAGAGGTCCTCTTGAGATAATATAGCCAGAACTGACTTTTGCAACCGCCAAACAGAGCACATGGCCACCTTGAGATCATATCACCACGGCTTTTCCTAAACGTGAAGTTCTATTACAAGGGGAAGTGTCCCGTTCTGTGGTGAAACAAGATGCTAACAGCATTGGAGGATGTATGCTCATTTATTGAACTGTTTCTGCACTAATGAACCTTGCTGCTTTCCACATTTAGTAACCGTAGAGAAAAGCAAATATATGCGTTTTAAAGGGATAACACATCCATCCTCTGTATTAATATGGGTGATTAAGAATCAACCGCTCTTGTGATGAAAATATGTTGTGCCATTCTGTCCTTAGATCTGGTTGATTCTTACATATATGCACCAGGAATTGGCAATCTGTGGCACTGAAGAGGATGCTCCACTCCATCTCCAATGATGTTCTGCCTCTTAGTCATTGAGCTGCAGTGCAGCACCCATGATAGTACCAGAGATTCCTAGTCTGTTCTAAGCAATACCTGTGTGTCTCTTTCAATTCTGTTTTCTTCTTTTTCTTTTTTTTTCATTTTATAACTGACTAAAATGAATATGCTGTTCTATGTTTCTTGCATGATATGATTAAGTAATTTTGTATTTGGACATAAATTGTTTGTGATATGCTTTGTTTGGTGGAGCTAGAGAGAATCTTTGTCATAAATCTGCTGAATGTCTTGATCAATCGAGTGCAATGAAGCAGAAATCTAGTGTGTTTTTACCTTGTAGCCATTCTTGATCTTCTTTTATCATTTTATACACTCTCTTCCCTTTCCTAGGTTATGGCTTTATCATTTCTTATCTTCATTCAAGTGTTATCATTTCATATGTTCATTTTGTTCTTTGTTTTCTGGATCCTCATTAGGTTTTACTATATTAGTTAGGTATTTTTTTATTGTTCTGCTTTCACAATAAACAATCAAATAAATGAGAATATAGTATATGTTTGAGATTAACCTTTACCTCACTCCATTGGGCCCTAATGTAAGATCATTTACCTGTCAGTTCATTCTGATGTTCCAGTTTTAACATTACTGAGCATGCTGGGTAGACAGTTGAATATTACTGTTGATTGCTCAGTTAAAACAAAATCTATTACAATGGTTACAATGGTATTCCTTCTATGGATAAAAAACAGAGTCCTCTATGTCAGTCCTCAGATGAACCTAAAACCACAAGCTGCTAAAATGTACTTTCATCAGTTGAGGTGATTGTGGAGTATTCCAGTCTCTCTAGGAAGTAGGTTTATTTTTCCAGTGGCAATGCAGAAATTAAACTATTTTTTCAAACTTGTTTTCTTCCTAGGGTGATTGCAATTATTATGCAGTATTTTTACACTCCAGGTTATCGTAGATATGAAAGAACCATTTAGACATATTCCAATTTTTTTTAATAAGGAAACCGCAATGTGTAAGTGCTGACTACCCCGCAAGAATCTTTCTACATAATAAAGTGAATTGAATTGCTATGAGTTACAGTACTTTTCACATCATCGTTGCTCTTTTTGTTGCCTTATTAAATAAGCCCATATCTCTGCTAAGAGTGGATGCAGCTCGAACCTAAAGCAGTGAGTGCCTCAATAATGTCTCTAGCTGCAAGGAAATCAATAAACTGAGTATGGACAGCTGCAGTAACAGGACAAGAAGAGCACTGCATCCTCTGTTGGTAGGCACTGGGCTCATTTTAATATTGTTCTGTTGGGATGTCAAAATTCTGCTTGTACAAGAGTAACAAAAGGAAGTTTCTTCTTTTCAGCTTGATAGCATGGTATTACAGGGAAATGCTAGTCTTTGTTTATGGACTACAAGCAGAGTTCTCATGTGACAACAAGGGGAAAACAGAGCACAAAAGCAATACAGCAATTCTTTCTCCATGTGTTTGTCTTTGAGCTGGCCTCCGGGAAGAAAGACTGGGACACACTTTATGTGGATTCCCAGAGCCAAAACTGCGCAACCTTGAGCAAATCACTGTATTTCTCAGTGCCTCAGGTGCAAAAAGATTGTAAGCTCTCACGAGTAGGTATTTATTGTGCCTGTACATTCTATATACAGTGCTTGTTGTTACTATTAAAAACATAAAAAAAAAATAAACCCTTTTTATAGCCAACAGTTTTTGGTATATATGGCATGATGTTATTGTGTGATTGTTACTTTGTGATCATTAAAGCAGAACTCCAGCCAAAATCACAAGATAAAAATGAACAGACCATTAAAAGATCAAATAAAATTAGCTTTTGCTGCAATACTCAGTTTCAATCCGGAGATCTCCCCTGCAGAACTTTTTTTCTGCCATTAGATATCCACAGTATGGTGCCCATCATAATTCAACCCATTTCCACTGAGCCCAGGTCATCCTGCTAGCCTGTGAGTGGACAGTCAAAAGAGAAGCAGTACAATGATGAGCTCATCTTTTTGTCACTCTTCTTTTCTCTTCCTATCAACGTGTTTCTTGTCAGCATGTGATCTGATTGTCTGTCTTTTTTTTTGTATGGTTTCTTCCTCTCACATTCCAGCCCTGCTGTACTGGGGCAGCAAGAGGCTGATGTCAGGTCAAATTAAGGTATAACACTAAACAAAATGTAATGATGTATTAATTTACATTGCATATATTTGAGTTTCATATCTGCCTAGAGTTCTGCTTTAAGTTTTTGGAGGAAAGAAAGCGCTGCATATTAACACAAAAATTTCACCCAAAATGCAAAGCTGGAGACCATAGTTTGGAGCGGCTTGCTACCTTAGTAAACTGCCATCACAAAGGAAACTATGAATTCCAAATTATAATTAGACATTTTACATATCAATGCAGCAGTCCATCACCAGAAGCTTAATGTTCATGTAAACCTTAAAAAAATAAACTTCCTATAAACAGTTCCCAAATGCATGGTAAACTGCCAAATGTGTGTCCTATGCTTTGTGCCAAAGTATCAGCTACAAATACCTAGTGATCAGCCTGTCTTCTGAAATATGTCCCTCGTGTTCCTTTATGTCATACTACCTGCTGGTCTGACCTGTGGCCTTGACAGCCACGCTTGGTGTTTCCTGTATGGGAATTGAATAGGAGGGCGCAGTGCAAAAGCACCTATAATATCCTGTAGTCAGGCTGATCCCTGCCAGCAGCTCCCACCAGCAAGAGATTATACTGGAATTGCACAGCTATGAACATTATACTAAAAATTGCAGTGGTCAGTGACTTTTAGTGGGACTGTGATAGTGTGGTGGGCAGTGATTCAGTGATCAGTGCTAATACAGTACACTGTCACTGTACTAATGACACTGGCCGGAAAGGGATTAATATCTTAGGGGCAATCAAAGGGTTAACTGTGTACCTAACAATGTGTAATGTGTGTTGTTATATGTGATGCTTCTACTTTACTTTAAGGCTGTTTATTCTCCTTGCTTTGCAGGGAGAATAAAACAGCCAGATCGCTGTTCCTTGTACTGGAGAGCTCTGTGTTTTGTAAACACAGAACTTTGTATGTGATTGGGACACAGCAGATCAGCTGAATTCAGCCGAAAGCATTGGCTGAAATGCCAGCTGCCATTGGCACGGGTTGGCAAGAGGCGAGAACGCACGTGTGCCCTAGAAAGATCGCAACGTACAGGTAACCACTTGCCCGGCCCTGGAGCTGCGCCGGCTCACTCACTGCACAACTCCTGTTGAACGGGATGGCAAGCAGTTAATTTTTTTTGTTTCTGCTTTATTTTTCATCTGATAATTCTGCAAAATAGTACATGTGTGTTGCTGTGCAAAAGTGACAATGCGTGTTTTCCTCCATACTCCCTGTCCAACGGGTGACAATGTTGCTCTTCCACATGGCCTGTGCATGGGGGGGGTGACAACGCTGGTTCTCCATACTCCCTGTCCAAGGGTGACAATGCTGTTCCTCCATATCACCCTGTCCAAGGGTGACAATGTTGGCTCTTCCACATGGCCTGTGCAAGGGGTGACAACGCTGTTCCTCCATACTCCCTGTCCAAGGGTGACAATGTTGCTCTTCCACATGGCCTGTGCAAGGGTGACAACGCTGTTCCTGCCCATAATCCCTGTCCAAGGGTGACAATGTTGCTCTTCCACATGGCCTGTGCAAGGGGTTGACAACGCTGTTCCTCCCATTACGTCCCTGTCAAGGGTGACAATGGTTGCTCTTCCACATGGCCAGTGCAAGGGTGACAACGCTGTTCCTCCATAATCCTGTCCCAAGGGTGACAATGTTGCTGTCTTCCACATGGCCTGTGCAAGGTGTGGACAACGCTGTTCCTCCAAACTCCCTGTCCAAGGGTTGACAATGTTGCTCTTCCACATGGCCTGTGCAAGGGTGACAACGCTGTTCCTTCCTCCATACTCCCTCTCCAAAGGGTGACAATGAATGCTGCTCCTCTGCAGATGCATTGCAAAACACCCACCTAAAAACAGTAATAATTCAGACTATGCAATCTGTAAAGTG